CCCCGCCCTGCCAGAGGCGGGCACGGCCTGCCCCGAGCACCCTCCTCTGCCCGAGGCCCTGGGCTGCCCCGGCGCCACATCCTGCGGGGCCATGAGTGTCCCACGCTGTGGTAAGGTCATGGGCTGCTTTATGATGTCACAGCGCTACAGGCCCGGGGAGGAGTGGCTGGCGAGCTGACAGTCAGGGAGGGACCTAGGGGGGGATTGATAACGAGCCAGCAGTGTGCCCAGGTGGCCAAGAAGGCCACTGGCATCCTGGCTTGCGTCAGCAATAGCGTGGCCAGCAGGGACAGGGAAGGGATCTGACCCCTGTGCCCGGCACTGGTGAGGCCGCACCTCGATGACTGGGTTCAGTTTTGGGCCCCTCACTACAAAAAGGACATTGAATGAATCGAGGGTGCCCAGAGAAGGGCAACGAAGACAGTGCAGGGTCTGGAGCACAGGTCGTAGGAGGAGCGGCTGAGGGAACTGGGGGGGGTTTAGTCTAGAGAAGAGGAGGCTGAGGGGAGACCTCATCGCCCTCTACAGCTACCTGAGAGGAGGGTGCAGAGAGCTAGGGATGAGTCTCTTTAGCCTAGTAACAAGCGATAGGACAAAAGGTAATGGCCTCAAAATGCACCAGGGAAGGTTTAGACTAGATCTAGGAAGTATTTCTTTGCAAAAGGAGTTGTTGGGCGTTGGAATGGGCTGCCCAGGGCAGTGGTAGAGTCCCCATCCCTGGAGGGGTTGAAGAGTCAGGTTGACCCAGTGCTGAGGGATCGGGTGGAGTTGGGAACTGTCAGTGTTGGGTTGATGGTTGGCTGGATGATCTTCAAGGTCTTTGCCAACCTAGACAATTCTGACGTTCTGTGATAATCATTGTCCTGCTCTCTGTAAGGTCACAGGCAGCCCTGAGGTGTTACACACTACTGACCCATGAGCACTCTGCTACCTCATGGATTGTCCCGGGAGGTCTCTCACTGCCATGAGCATGCAGCTCCCTGTGAGGTCACAGTGTCCAGCAGGTTAGCACGCTGGCTCTGATGTGAGGTCATGGGCTCCCTGAGGAGGTGGTAGAGCTCTCAGCCAGCAAGCATCCTGTCCCTCACGAGGTAACACAGCGCTCAGCCCGTGATCTTCGTTGCTCTTCCATGATGTCACAGGGCCCAACCAGTCACCTCACAGGCTCTCCCTTAGGTCCAGGCTCAGCCAGTGAGCACCCAGCTTCCCCAGGGAGGTCCCAGGGAGCCCAGCCAAGCAGCACCCCTGTTCCCCATTAGGTCCCACAGTGCTCAGCCAACAGGCCTGTCCTCTCTGCATGAGGTAACAGGCTGCCTGATGATGTCAGAGAGCACAGGTGCCTGCAGGAGAGCACCCAGCCCAAATGAGGCCTCCCACCACGCACCGGGATGGCGCAATTACACCTCACCCAGATCTCTTGCCATAGTTAATGAGAGGAAGCGATAATTAACACCGCCAGAAGTAATGGGACACAGCTCCTGCGAGAGGCAGGCAGGGGGGATGGGCAGGCGCCTCCTGCCACCCCCCAGTGCCGTGGGGCACTGCGGGGAAATAGGCTGCTGCCCAGAGGCCACAGAGGGGCTCAGCACCCCCTGCCTGGCCCCTGCTGCCACCCTGTGGCCTCACACCCTGTCTCCTGCTGCAGCCCCCGCTCTGCTGCCACAATCGGGACCCCAGGGGAGCAGAGGAAGGACCCCACCCCAGGGACCTGCTGGATCCACGTCAGGGACTGTGAGCCACCTCCCCTGGGAGTTTCAGCCCCGCCGGGGATGCTGCTGCTTCCAGTAGCTGACACCAGCCCAAGACCTGCCAGCAGCTTCTTTTTATGGGCTGTGAGTCAACACACACACTCGCTACGCTAAATCCTAAAATAAATGTGAAACTGGGTCCGATCTCACCTGATTCCACAGAAATAGAAACGGGCTCCAATGAGCCCCTGGGAGTCAGTACCTCTGCCCCTTCCCCACCGTGCAATCCTCTGGCTGGGGAGCAGCCCTGCCCGCAGCAGGGACTCGCTGCTGTCTTGCTCAGAGGCAGGTGTAGGGTGTATAGGGTATAGTATAAGGAGGAAAGTGGCTTTTGATGAGCGAAAATCATCACAAGCAAAAGTCTCCAGTTCTAGCAGGGGCAATGTGTAAATGCAGCAAAGCAAAACCAAACCACACCCAATGGAACTTTCAAAAAGCAGCAAATGTAGTAAAGTTGGAGAGTGCAGGAATGGATGGAAGGGGATCAGGACTGACAAGATGGCCAGACCAGAAAAAAAAAAAAAAAGTGGTTTGTTTTGGGGTTTTCTGTTAGGTTTTTCGTTTGGTTTGGGTGGGGACTTTTCCCCCCCAAACACAGGAAACTCAAAACATCCACCTTAAACTCAGCAGAGTTTGAGCAGCCCCAGCTCAGGTAGTGCACAGCAGCTGACTGCCCAGCCAAAGCACTCGAGCCCTGCTTTAATTGTGCCTTGGTGACAAAGCCCAGCAAAGCAGTCCAAGTGATGCCAGTTTAGGGGATGATGGGGGACAGAGGAGAATGCTGCCCAGGCACACAGCAGGCAGAGCCAACACCAAGCAACACCAAAATGAAGGTCCCTTATTCACCACAGTCAGAGCAGGGGGCTTTTTGGCCCAGGGTGAGTTTATTTTGAAATAGAAAAGTAATGGGGGTAACAGACCCAGCAGAAGTCAAAGATGGTGTTGCCAGCTCACGCAGGCACTGCTGTCCCTGACAGAGGGGACACTGGGCTACACAGCCCATGGGGATGAGCTTTGTGGGCAGGTTGGACCCCCACGTGCAGGGTGGTCCTGGAGCCAGTGCTGAGCAGGGGACAGGGGTGGCTTGATCAGGTGCAAACATTTCCCCCCCCCCTGGTTCTGACAGGTCCCCAAAGCAGGGCAAGAGCAGGACAGCCCCAAAGCCCTTCTCACTCCCTCCGCTGCAGGATGGGAGCGGCACTGACACACACCCAGCTCTCCAGCACACCAACATGGAAGCCCATGTCCCTCACCAGCCACATACCCAGACCTTTTCTGACACCTTCTTAGAAGGGTGTCCCTGAACTTGCTTCAGGCCAGAGATCTAGAGCAGATCTGCCTTTTTTTTTTAAAAAAAAAAAACAAAAAAAACCCCAAAAACACTCACATGCAGGTACCTACCTTGAAGAGGTGAGTGCCCCATGCAGGAGGGTCAGTAAAAGGCTCCCTGCAGTCTCTCCCAGGTTCCTCTTGTCCAGAATTAACTCTGCTTGATTAGGTCCCCCCTCCCTTCCCCCCAGGCTTGTTTCCCACCTCTCTGAAGACTCTTCTCATGCTCCTCCAGACCCTCCACCCATTCCACACCATTCAGCAGTCAGCCCCAGCGGATGCTGGCAAGACACAGTTCATGCTCTGTGGGAACTGGCCTCGCTCACTGCCTTGGAGATGGGCATCGCTTTCATCCCACCACAGCCTTTCCTGGAGCGGGGAACCGTCTCCCAAGAGCTGACACAGAGGTTCCAGAAGGGTCAGGCACATCCATCACCCCACACTCAGCACCTGAGCTCCCCCCTCCACCTCAAGCTGCAATAGGGAAGAAAACACTGAGAAGGCAGTTGTGTTAACAAATGTACACAACAGTATATTTTATTCCTTAAATACTGAGGGTTCCAGTTTGAAGCAGCTGGAAGCAGGAAACATCACAGATTTGTACAGTTGAGTGGCTGTAGCAAGGTACCTCCCTAAGTCTGTTCCTTGCAGCTTGAAGAGCCCTGCTTCAGGCATGGGGCAAGAGCAGAGCTACTGTCCCATGTCTCCAAGCTGAACAACTCCAGACAGGTTCAGCCCCATCAGTCTCCCCCTCCCCTGAAGGGAGCTGTTTCCCACCACTCCTTCAGGCCATTTCAAACCCTCAAAAAAAAAAAAAAAAAAAAAAAAATCGCTAGGCAGATCAGTTACAAAAGAAGAAAACCCCTAGTTTCATTTAAGAAATACAGAATTTCACAAACAAGTTTCACACCAGCACATGCCACAAACAGAGGTCACATTAGTGCACTGACCTCCCTGATCCCAAGCAGGGCAAGGGGTCACCCCCAGCACCCTCCTCCCCAGGTCAGCAATTCCAGTGCCAGGTCTGAAAAAAAAAATCCACTGAGCTTCATGGCCCAAACAGGGCAAGGCAGAACATCCCCCAGGCTTGCCCATGGGTCTCCCAAACCCACACAGGCCTTCAGCAGAGGGAAGTTGTTTCATCTGATGAACACACACCCACCCTGCAGCAACACAGGCCAGTGCTGATCTGCCCCCTTCTTCCTCCAGGAAACTTTTTAGAGCTATTTACACCAGGCAGAGCTGGTCCAGGTCCCTTCTCCCTGCTCTTACTGCAGCCTGGAATCCCAGATACCCTTCCTGAACCTCTGGCTTGCTGCTGCATCCAAGAAGTGCAGTTCCACCTGATGTCAGAGCCCAATAGCAGCAGCAACTGTAGAGCTCTGAACAGGCCAGAAAATAAGAAAACCCTGTTTATTCGTGAAAATAGGAGGAAGGTAGTGTAAAATGAGGAGTGTAAATCAGTCCAAGCATGAGCCAGAGGCTTGGTCTCTTGTCAGCTTGCTTCAAGGCAAGGATTCCCCCCCAGGGCAGATTGTCTCACCCACAGGGCAGGATCAGTGCTTTGCAAATAGCGCCCCCCCCCCAAATGGCTGGACATTGCTGCATACCAGGCTCTGGGCAAGTGCACTCTGCCCTGAAGCTGCCCTGCCCAGCTGCTTCCCAGGAAAGTGAGGGCTCTCACTGCAGGAAACTGTCCAGCCTGGCTTGGCTGCTGCTGGAAGAAGCAGCAGAAGGAGCTGTAGATGCTGGCTTGGAGACATTCTTCTTCTTCTTCCTCACTGCTAACGGATGAATTTCTGCCAGGTTTGTCTGGAGGTAAAACTGTCACGGAAAGTACAGACCAAGTGACCCAGTACCTGCTGCAGACTAGCCTGAACCACAGACCCGGGACCCAGCCATGCAATTGCACCCGAAGAAAAACTCCTTGCAGAACAGGCTGGGCTTTGTTCTCTACTCACAGTGCTCAGGCATGGTCCTGTCCCGTGAGCCAAAGAATGCTTCCCACTTCCATGCTACACCCCTGCACACAAAACAGCATTTAAGCATATCCATCAAAGCTTCAAGATCTACCCTGCAGGTCAGAGCCAGGACACCATGCAGGTAAAGGCACAGCAAGCTGAGCCTGCAGCCTCCCAAGGCAGAGCAACAAAGGAATAGCCCTTAGGGCAGCAAGTCCCTTTTAACTCTTAGGCCAGAGACACAGAAGCATCAAAAACTAAGCCTGCAGCACAAAGGCAGGTGCAGCCCATGCTATGAGAACTGGAGGGTTACACAAACCAGCACACCTGCAGCACTCAGGCTTGGAGAAGTGATCTGCTCCTCCATCAGCCATTGTGTGAGGGACAGCTGCTGCCCTTCTCCATTCACCTCAGGCCAGCTGTATGGGCACATCTGGCCCCAAAGATCGGGCTCAGGCATCTCCCTGCCTGCCTTTGGGTACCTCCACCCTTACCACAGTGAGACCACAGGAACAGCCACCCAAGGCTTCCCAGCAGGTCACACCTTCCAGCTGATCTCTCCTTCAGCCTCCTGGTTTTCTACAAAGAGCAAAACCCCCTCAAAACCAGCACCAGGAGCTAGAGCAGAGTCAGAGCCATAGATTTGCCACCACCCTTCTCTGACAGCACTGCCTAGGGGAGGCAGGTAAGGGGCAGCCTCTGCAGAGGAGAGGACACTGCTCCTGAGTGAGGAGGGGGAGTCAAAGCAGCTCCCTGTCTGCTGGGTGAGCTCAGCCCAGGGACAGGCACAGCAGAGCAGCAGCATCCTGCATGAATGAAGGCTTCGGCTGCACGGGCCGGCAGGCACATGGCCAGGAAGAGGCTGCACAACACTGCTGCTCAGAGATCCCAAGGGCATAGGCAGCCCCTGCAAATTGTACTGATTTCTAGTTGATATGATCCTCTGAATGAGCCACCTCTGACAATACTGTCAGCAAGTTCAGATCCTTGATGCCTTTGCTGAGCTCAGACTTGTTAGAGTCAGATAGGGAAAAATCTTATGGCTCTTTCAGGATCCCAGTCCATTTCTGGTTGACTGGGGAACAGGACTACTGAGACTGAAGAGGAGGAACCGAGAACAGGTCTCCACAGCATCACTACTGCCATGTGAACTGCAGGAAAGGATACAGGCTGTATGAACTTTGTTCTGCCGCCCAAGCCGTCATATCCCATTCTCACCTGGAAGAGAGAAAGAAATGAGCCTCGAGCAGCAGCACAGAGCCTTGGCTACCTCCTCATCTTGGTTATGGGGAAGAGGAAGCCTTGCAGGCCACAGGTTCTAGGGAAGGGTGACAAGCACCTGGAAACACTCTGCACTTGTGCTAAGCTCTCACCTTTGGAAAAACACAGAGCCAAGAGTAGTAGTAAAGTTTGGATACTTTGGGCACTTCCTGCAACAAGTTGAGCTTTTCAAGCAGCAGCGAAGCTTAGGATTTTGTCATTGGGACTGAGGAACACACAGAAAACAGCCCAAGCTCCAATGAGGTGGAGGGATGGGACATGGAGGGCCATTTAGTCTGCTGCCAGGAAGGGAATGAGCATCTGCCATCCCTGAAGCTCTGCAGGACTGGGAAGGAGCCAGGTTGTGCTCCAAGATTTATTTTCCACATGCTCTGTGTGGCAAGGTAAAAGCCTCATTCGCTTCCTCCTATAGGGTCACTTCAGGACAGAGGTGTGCAGTGCCAGCCCTTGACATGCTCACCAACTGGACAGTCGTACTTACAGTGCCCACATTCTTGTGGGGACCCAGCAAGCTACCCAAAGATGGCTTCTTGGAAAGAACAGAGTTCCTGATGAATGCTGGCAAGAGTCCTTTAAGAGCATCATCCTCCAGATCATCTGCCCAGTTCTGTCCCACAAAATAATGAGAAAAGCCCTTTAACCAGCATGATCTGCTGGAGTTAGTCCACATACAGGGAGCACTAACAACACAGACAGCTATTTAGGGTAATAGATACTGCTATACCACACGTCAGGCCAAAGAACAGTAGCCTCAAACCTCCCACTAGGGCTCATGTGGAAGAGCATCTGGGAGGCAGGACACTGCACCCAGCAAGGCTGGGATTAGAGCCCCCTTAGCTGAGTCCACAGCCCTTGTGGTCAGGCCCACGTCGTGTCTGTAAAGCATATCTGAGGCAGGATAATAGGCAAGAAGCATGTGGGTCCTCACCCTCCATCACCTGCTCAATTGCAGGAGGCGTGAGGCAGCAATACAGTGTTTCTAGGAGACTGTCAAGCAAAGCACTTTGAAGCACATACTGTGGTTCTGTAGATGAGCTGGTCTACAGTCACAGCGTTTCCTACATGGACAAAATGGGTCCTTTATCCCAAGCTTATTAACAGCAGAATCAAAGAGGTGATACAGAAATCAAGATTAGTCCTTTTACCTCCACTGTTTCCTTCAGAAGTTTATTCGCCAGATTTACCACGGGAGGCCTGTAAGAAGCCCAAGGAGTAAATCAGCAGAGATTTATTGTTCAAGTGCAGCTGGCAAGGACAGACAAGGCCAAGCCAATGACGACAAAACTTGCAGCACGACATCAGGCAGCTGGAGAGCTATCTGATCTCACACAGCAACTTCCAAAGAATTAAGACTTTGATCTCTTTTAGAAGCAGAAAGAAGAGGGAAAACTCACGGCTTTTTATCCAGCTTCTGCCTTTTTGCAGGGCTGAAGGGAGATCTGCAGGACTGATGTTCAGGGGTGTCCACATCAAAAGTAGCATCTAGATTGATCTCATCGCTGTGGGCCGGGCGGTGGAGCTTCGGGTGCCGCAGTTCCACGGGAGTGGGGCTGTGAAGCCACGCAAGGCATCAGCTACCGGGAGGCCACTGCCTGCCACCCGCAGATGAGGGGAAGACAGAGCTGCATGCTACGTGACTGAGTTGCAAGACAGCAGTGGGACCTGATCGGAGCCCCGTTCTGCTTACAAGTCACAGAAAGGACAATCTGAATCCCGGAGTAATAGTCAACATCCCAAACTACCATTCACCCTTAAACGGCCTGTGCTGTAACAGCAGCACCCAGAGCCCAGGGAAACACACAGGCACACTGCTGCTGTGTTTACATAACCGAGCTTGCTGAGCTGGGTTAATAGCACAGGCCCCTCACAAGAAAGGGTCTGATAAAAATGCAAAAGATTTTTCAGGCCAAGGTTTCTCTGCCTGGCTAAGATCTCTGGTCTCCATAAACCAGGGCATACTCACTGGAAGGCCAACTCTGAGGCAACCAGAAGAGCAGCTTTAGGGATATTTCTCTGGCAGGATGTAGTGACAAAGAGTTTGTCAAAACCTAGCCCATTCCTCCATCCCATCCTGACTCAAACCCTTCAAAACACAGAATTTTTCCATGTAAACCAAACACCACCTTGCCAGCAACGAGAAAAAAAAAAAAAGGATACAAGGAGCAAAATGACCGTGCTACTGCGATGCCTGCCAGACTACCACGTCTCCACCTCCCCAGCTAGTTACACTGCCAACTCTTACTTTGGACTCACTATCCCCACCCTTGGCCTGTATCTGAGGATGCTCTTCACTAACCTTTCAAAGACTAGCCGACTGAATGTCTCTCTGGTTACAGATGGGACCTTCAGAGTATCCTGCAGGATGTCTATCTTCTTCTTCAAACTCTGGAGGGAAAAGGGAAAGTGGACAATGAGATAACAAAAGATTATAGCAGCAGATACTTTGCCCCTCTTCCATGAACAAGCATCACGTGGAGCAAATTAGAGAGGTAAGGTGGGCTGGGTAACCTAGTCACTGAGCAAAAGTCAGCATAACGCCTGGCTTTGCAGCTGCAGGCCATGGCCAGCTGCCAGTTACTGCAGGCTGAGGAAAGATATTCTTACCAAGATCTCCTTGTCCGCATTCTTCAGATCCTTCTGGGTGCTTTTTAACTCCTCCTTTGTCATCTCCAACTCTGAAACCGTTTTCTGCAGCTGCAGAATAACCCCCCATCCCCAAACAGCAGTGCTGGTTATAACACACAGGTAAGACAGACCGCAGATCCCGTGACAGCAGTATGCTCTGCAGTACAAGCTACTTGCCCCTGTTTAAGGGCTCAGATATCCTGTAGCAGTCTAACCAATCTCTCCTGTATCAGAGCAACCAAATGCCTGCCTACTTCCTCAAGCTGCCTGCAGAGGGATCTCCAGGGCTGCCTGCCCAACACAAACCTTCCTATAAACATTTCCTGAGCATTTATGCATAATGGTTCCCTGCTCTAACACTTGGTGGCTGCATTCTGAATTCCTGCAGGACTTTGGACACACCAGAGCACAGGAATTACAAACCACAGGCTGGAGGACGGTTGTGCATCAGCAGTACTGGCAGACAGACAAGCCTGATTCAACAGGGAAGCACACCAGAAGCAGGGGTCAAGAAGTGGACTGCTACCACATCAGAGACTTTTGTGGGTTCAGGAGTCTGGGCCAGCCCACAGAGTGCTGGTACAGTCACCTCTCCGTCAGCCAAGCCTGGAGCCCTGAGTGCACTGACTCGCATCCTCCTGACTCAAGCCAGTGATTGCAGCTTGTCACTGACTCAGCCAGAAGCAGCCCGATTCCAGCAGCAGCACCTCATGTAGAGGGTTAACTCCCTTGGGGAGCAACACAGCAATCTGAGAACCTCCTTCTCCATTTGGGGGGACCACAACTGCTACGTCTGAGTAACAAAAACAGGCCAAATCCACCCACTGTCTCTCACTTTGTGAGCTTGGACATGGGAATGCCCCAGGGAACACCTGCGCCTTGGTGAGCAGGGCTACGCACAGACAGTTTTCATGGGGACTCACTACTAGAACTGACGAAGCACGAGCCCATCCGGGCCTGGAGCAGGGGGAGCACAGCAGTAGAGGCACATCAGCAGCTCCAAGCTCTGCACCAGGCCAGGACTAGCCCAGGCAGGCTCTGTGCAGAGCCACCTACGCTACCTTGCCGCACTTTGGGAACCTCTCCTGCCTGAGCACAGCATCATGTGGGAGTCCTGGCCCAGTTCAGTCAGCTGAAGGCACAAGGCTGGGCACAGCTGTGGTAGTACCAAGACAGGGCTAAGCCCTGCTCAACTGATGCTGGCTCCAAACCCCTTCCCACCTTTCCTATGGGCCTGATTCTGCTGGCAGCCGAGCAAGCTCACGCTCGGCAGTGTGGCAGGATGAAGGCAGTGCTGCTTCCAGAACCCAGCAGAAGCAGCGGAGCACCTGTGTGCTGCTGCCTTTCAGTCCAGGCTCCCTGCCAAACCGGCTGGCTCTGCACATGCTGCCCCACCACTGTCCCCAGAGACTGCACTCCTGACAACAGCCTGTGAACCACTCACCGCAGCATCACCCCCTGACCCAGAAACCCCAGCCTGACACTTCCACACCACCCTTACCACTCAAGCAGTTCTCAGTGTGGGAGTGGGTCACTGCAGAAGGCTTGGGCCAGTTGTTAGACCCTTTACCTTGTTGTTGGCAGAAAACACCTCCTTCTTCAGCTTCTCTGTCATCTCATTAGAGATCTTCCGAGCCTCCTTCAAGTTTTCATATTCCCTGCAAAGGACCCAGACAAGGCATACTGTGTACAAGAGGACTGAGCTAGAACTTCTCAGATGAGCCAAGACCTTTAATCTGAAGCTCTGCAACTGCAGAGCCACCAGAGAAAACCTGGGAGACACAGAGCCCTTTAGGGAACAGAGCTGAGTGTACCAACACTGACCAACAGCCTGTCAAATATACTGCTACACCATGGGGGAGAAAAAAGCTGCATGGGATACCATGCCTGAGAACAGGGCCTGAAGAGATTTCCCCAGGAGAATGGAAACCTGATCCAGAGACATTTCAGTTGCCAGTGGAAAAGACAGACAACAGAGCAGCCTCCATGCTGGCAGCAAATAGGGGACTTTGCTTTAAGTGACTTTTCAGAGACTTCCCACTATTGGCCATGCACATTCATCCCAATTACACCACAGGGACACTTGCCTCATTACAGTTTTGTATCAAAGCTGCAATTATTCAGCTACCATCAGAATGGACCCAAAAAAAGCTGTGGTTTTGCCCAGCAGGACCAGATGGATTTGCAGGTAGGGGAGGGCAGCACTGCAGATTTGCCTTGCCAGAGAGCGCTTGAGGCCACAGCTGTACGGTGCAATGCAGCAGAAGGTACAACCCAGAGCCCCTCACCCACTCATTTCCCCCCAGGCACAAGAGGGGAACAGAGGGAATAATAATCACCACCTCACAGGTGCACTGACAACTCTGGATACAGTTCCCATGGTGACACGCATGTCACTACAGTGACAATAGGAATTGTTCAGTGTGACAGATTCCAATCTAGGTCCCCAGGATCTACCAGTGAAAACCCAGTGGAGGCCCAAACAGGCGGCAAGAGCTGCACAGAGCCTGTGTGTCTGCTGGTTCTCAGCAGAGGATTCTCCCTGGGTACACCCAGGACAGCACAAACCGGCTGTGCCAAGCCTACAGCACCTACTTTTTCAGCGAGACACAGTAGACAGCAAGCTGTTCCACTGCTGCCTGCCCAACTCCCATCTCTCTGATCATCTCCTCCACTTCAGGGCGCTGGCTCTGAAGCAACAGCTCAATCCTGCACACAAAAAAAAAAAAGGTACCTTCAGCACCTGAGTCACAGAGGTGGGAAAGAGACCGGAGCCCTGATTCCTCCCAGGCAGCTGGTGCAGCCTAAGCTCCTGCTGCAGGCACTCTGGATGTTGTGGGGAAGACACAGCTGCCCCACCACAAGCAGGGCTTTTTGCTATGGAAGGGTAGCACTGTGTGGACAGACTAGAGAAGGGGAACTGTACATACATACTGCATATGGGGCGGACATCCCAGCTCTTGGGCCTTACAGCCCCATGGCTGACTCTGTTCCTGGGCTGGGATTCTGCCCCAACACCCTCTGATAACAGGAATGGCACAGAGCCATGCTTGGAGCACCAGAAGTGAAGCCAGCCTGCACACAGTGCCATGCCTTGCTGCTGCTTCGGGAGAGCAGCCCTCTGGAAACATAGGAGGGGCAAGAGCACAGACAGGCAAGAGCAGGCTCATTAATGCAGCAGTTTCCAACCTTATGGGGTAAGGTGACCCAAATGTGGAGGTGGACATTGCAGCAGGCACAGCAGAACCCCTCCCTCCCTCCCTCTCTGAGAAGGGGAGAGGCATGCAGCCCCGCCTGTGAGGACCAGGGAGAGCCCGGGATCTCACCGCTCCATGGTTCTCAGCTTGTTCCGCAGACGGCGGGCCTCCTCCTTTGAACTTCTGTTATCTTCCTGCTGCTGCTCCAGGAATTTCATCTGCTTCTGCAGAGAAGCAAACACACACAGACCGTTAGGAAGGCTCCAGGGATTGTTAGAGAAACATCCTGGCTTATGCGCACTGCGGGCAGCTGGGAGCATACATTGGCTCTTAATACTATCACCACCTCAGCAGCCCAGGATTACGGAGAGTTTAGCTCCCTCCCCACTGCACCCCTAGCTCTGCTCCTTGCAAGCGCAGCAGGGTCTCAGTGCTAATCGCGAAACGAGCCTGGTGCTGAAACTGCATCGCAGCCTCATTTCTGCTGGGAGGGTTTGCGGGACTGCACAGTATTCTGTACACAGCGACAATTTGTTTTTCAAAAGGAAAGGAGTCCACAGCAAGGAAACCTTGCTATTGCTTTCTCCTCCACGCACAGCTGATCCTTTTGCTTTAGCCTCCCAGTTCTCCTTGCCATTAGCTAGCTCAGAGCATAAACAGGAATGCTGAGTGGGTCTCTTCTGGGAAGCTTCAGCCAAACCAGACACCCACCCAGGCACTTCTCTCACCTGCCCGGAAAGGCTACAAGCTTATTGCAGCCAACACCTTTCCAGGCTCTCCAGAAGCAGGCAGCAGTAACGAAGAACCTCAGCTAAGCTGAAAAAAGCACAGATCTGCAGTGTGGCAGGGGACAGGGGGAAGCTGGCCTGAATTAGCACCATTCCAATGCGTCTGTGTTGTCTCGGTTTGTGGGTGTCTGGGCACCTCACGCAGCACCTTCAAAAGACTCTGGGCCTGGTTTCAGCACAGTGCTGACTCCAGGAAGAGGCCTGGCAAAAGACCACCACCTCGTAAAGCTCCCTTCCACACAGAAGTTAAAGGATTTTAGCTGCTTTCTGCCATGGAGACGAACAGCTGTGAAACTGCTGGGACTTTGCAGAGGGGATAGTGTTGCAGGCTCACGTGTTGCTCTTGCTTAAGCAGAGCCCATCTTTGGCTCTTCCTAAGCAGAGCTCTCTATACTTCAGACCCCCAAAGCAGTGTTTTGTGCCAGGCTGGAGCAGATCCCGTAGCCTCAGACAGTCTGAAACAGCAGCAAACTCTCACACAGAGGTTCAGCAGCAGCTAACAGTGCTAGCAGAAGACAGGAAAGGCGTCACAGCTAGTTAAGCCTGTATTTTCAATATTTAATGATAAAGTATAAGGCAGTGCTTGGGATTTAGCTGGGAAACCCCATACACCACAGAAAAGATACCTCCAGGTTCCTAATCCTTCTGCCCTGCCTTCATTAAAAGGACTTAAGGACACACAGAGCGTTATGCAACAGGCAAGATAACCGCTGAGCCTCTTCCTGAGGTGCCAAGGCAGGAAAGCCAAGCATAGAAACGTTGAGTTGAGCGGCTAGCACCAGCTCCCACTGTCTCAATTGTTTCTGCAGGAGTAAGGAGCATCAGAAGTATCCTGCCACCGGTATGCAGGGATCCCAGGAGAATTTCTGGCATGGCACAGACCCAGGCTGCCAAGCAGATCAGATATAATCCCATGATCAGGCAAAAAAAGTTGTGCTGGCTCATGGCAAGGTCTGTCTGGCATTAATTCCTTACTGTATCCCTCCTCCTGCCCTGTGACAGCACCACATTCCTAGTGTCAGGCAGACCTCGGGAAGAGCCCAGCTGCAGGTGGCACACAGCAAGATGACCCTGCAACCCCCATCTGCAAGCTCTCCTTGGGCCACTTGGCCTTGCAGGTCAAGGAACACGATGCAGTTTAGGCTATTGTGTCAGGCCTATACTCCGAGGAGCAGAGATCCTGGAAAGTGCAGTTGACCCCCACCCTGCCTTTCAGCCTGCAGCTCACAACCCCACCTGCCTGAACCCCATCTTCTTGTGACAGATACATCATCTTCACAGTGGGGACAGCCCATCCCAGCCCACTGCCAAGGCAAAGTCACTCTGCTGGCTACAAGACATCTCAACAAAGCTGCTCCTGCTCTTACCCTCTTCCACTCGCTGTTTACGCACAGTACATGACTACACCCTGAGTCACTGCATGCTGAAACACAACAGGAATATTTGATCCCTGGACTTCACACATTACTTAACCTAACCAAAGGAAAGCCCTGGCAACAGAAAAGAGACAGGAGAGTTAGCTGGATCAAATCCCACTCAGCTGAAGCTTGCAACTCCCTCTCCATATATTTCAGTTTGATTTCTCCTCCAATCAAACTAAGAAACTAATTTTCCTTGAATCCCGCCCGGCCTAAATCCATTTCAGAAGAACATTCTACCACAGGGAGCCAGTGTTTCAGCAATGGGGCGCTGGGGCCAGTTCCCACTCCCAGTTCATGCTGCTACCTTTATCATCAGCACTGCCATTTCATTACTAAGGCTCAGCCAGCATCGCCCAGGCTGGGCTGGCGTCTCTCCCCCACTCGGCACTTCTGCCTTGAGCATGCAGCCACTTCTACGAAAACCACTGGCCTGCCTATTATGCCTCTGAATCACTCCTGAGCGGAGCGCACTCAGGACCTCAAGACCAGCAACACTACTTGCTTCAGATTAATAAGACCAAAAAGAAAACCCAGCTCCACTGTCCTCCTGTCATTCAGAGATCAAGGGGACAGGCTTCTCAAGGCACTAGATCCAAAATCCCACCAGAAATCTCTTTATTAGCAGGGCCTGCAGAGATCTTCAACAAAACTAACACTGACCATGCAACAGTTAGCGCTGAAGTCCTGCTGGGGACGGGAAAGGTACCTTAAGAGAGGAGCACAACATCTCTGTCTCTCCCAGCACCTTCTGGAGCGACTCTATTGTGGCATTGCGCACATCCAGAGTGTCCCTCAGCCCATCCACCAGGGCCTGGCATTCCCGCTTTTCTTTCTCTGGAAAAGAAAAAGGAAAAAGGTCATGGCCTGGTAATGCAGACTTCAGCTGCCCCACAGCAGCAGGAGAACAAGACTCTGCTTGCAGTCTCAGGCTGCAGGCTGCTAGGAGCTGGCCGTTTCTGTCGAGCCATTTCCCTAAGTGCTGCCTGCACCAGGGTCTGTACTGAGCGATTGCTTCTCCCAGTGCCAGCAGGCTTCAAGATTTTCTTTACTAAAGATAACAAGTTCCTTTTAATAGCTTTCCAGTGCCAGCCCTGCTAGCATTAAGCTGATGCATTTTAACTCTTGCATGCTCTCACAGCCAGGCTTGCACAGGGAAAACTGTTCTAGAGTTACACTGAGCTGTCACAGAGCTGGAGAGCCGAGTCCCAAGCCCATCCTCTCCACATGGAGCCTTACATGCGGGAAAGCCCTTAAGGGGCTGTCGAGCAGCTGCGTACAGCAATCCACCACACTGCTGTGTCAGCACTCTGCTGCAGGTACCCTCACCGCAGCACCTACATCGAAGGGCAAGGGGCAGTAAAGCAGAGCTCTGCTGGGCACTGGGTGCTTCACAGGACATGCAGTAGGTTAAGCAGGTTCCCCAGAACACCCACTTTTTGCAAGTGACAAAACCTGTAAGTCCTGCTGTCTCTCCCCACACAGGCAATCCATGAACAAAGCACATGCCTCTGAGCACCAGAGAGAAGGTAGTGGAAAACAACACTAAATTTCAAATTGTTTTTTTGAGACAAGGGAAGAATAGCTCACAAAGCAATAATCACCATCAGGAGCTGACAGACCGAAGCAGGGAACAGTCGGCATCACTGGAAAGCTCAAAGCAGTTGGGCAATGAGGGAAAGCAGCAACCCCTCCATCTAACCCTGCTGAGAGCAGGGTAAAGTCTGCAGCTCAGCATCTTCTGTCTTTGCTAAAATCATCCATGGCTCCAGCCTGACAATAGCAGAGACCCGATCCGTACCTTTCCAAAAAGCTTTTTCTCCTTGTGAGCAATCCAGTTTCAAATTGTGCTACCACATCCCACAGAAGCATGACCTGCAGTGCAGCTTCATTGCTTGCTCAGACAGTAAGAGCCACGTGGGACTGCTGAAGGAAAGGAACGTATCCCAGCAGAAGCATGCAGGTGGTTAGGGAAACACATTTTTCTTGGCAAAGCATTTTTTCTCCATTGATCTGAATAACCCTTCCTCACCAGAGGCAGCACAGCCTGGAGACGCTCCCCTGCATTTGCAGGGACTCCACATCCACCAAAAGAGTTAGGGTTTCCCCCTCCTCCGTTCCCAGCTGCCCAGAGGCAGATGGCAGAAGTCAAACCTCCTCATGCTGCAGGAATTAGTTTTCAGCTCATTCAGAGTGCCTCCCACAGTGCCTGCTGGCTCTGCTCGGAGCTCAGCACCTCTAGAGCCATTTGCAAGCTGATCAGAGACTGGCAATTACACAGCTCCTCTACAGCGCACAGCACAGAGCACATCTTTAAGTGAAGAATTTATACACAAGAACCACCAGAGAGCAGAGTGCCCACAGCAAAGGAGGCAGGAGGTGGGAAGGAGCTGCTCATTTCCAATATGAAAAGAGAATGGGACAGGGAATGTCAAATCCAAACTCTACTCACCAGAAGCCGAGAAGATGAGCAGGCCTTCGAGCAGTTTTTCTTGGATAACATCCTAGCAAGAATCCCAGCCACCTTCCCCAGAAGATCTGGCTCTCTACCAAGTCCCTAAACTCAACCAAGCTGGCAAGAGAACAGGCCTCAGAATAGAGACATGCAGACCATCCCATTCTGCTCTCAGGCTAAGGACTGAATCCTCAACCTACTGGCTATTCATGTCTGTCTCGTGCACGCAGGGAAGGCAGAGGAAAGACGACTCTCAGGGCGTGGGTGAGCCCCCAGCATTTTTTAAAGATTTCTTTTTTCCCCTTCTGCTAGTGTGTCTTTGGATTTCTGTCACTCAGACTGACATTTTCCTTTCGCTGCTCATGACTCATGTTCTGATGACAGCCTGCCTACAGACGATGCTTAAAACCCATCGACAAGTCTCCAGGGCTTTTGCTTTTCCTACCTCCCTCAAACATCCTCTAAAATTAAAGATGGGAAAATGGAAGCGCACACACTGAACTCCGTCTGCTCTTCGCGCGACACATGTGGCACTGCAGCAGCCAAACAAATCCAAAGCTTTCCCACTGCTGCTTGGGCACACTTGTACCCCCTCATCTGTTAGAGGGAACAAGCCTTTGACATATGCAGCTGTGAGTTTCCCAGTGAGCAAACCAAGGGTTTTGCTTCCAGCATGCCTGCTCCCAATATAGCTGTGCTGCATTTCTGTAGCTTGTGATTAGGAAAAGGGGCCAAAAAATTGCATTTATGTCTCTAAACTTGCAGAGAGCTCCCCAGTTACAGCAGAGCAGGGCCAGGCTGTGGACTGCCGCTCCATCATACAAGCTTTGTACAGCTGTAGGTGGTCTCGCCTCACAAAAAGCTCTGAAGAAGCTCCTCCAGCAAAACAGTTTGCAGCCTGCACCACACCCTCAGCTTCAGAGAGGGGTGGGCACTGCATGGGAGTTCCTCAGGCCTACCACTGACAGAGCCCAGGACCCACGGACCGTGGGCTACCGATCCCCCGCAGGCAGCTGGAACTCACCTTTCATGGAGAGCTGAGCCTTCACCTTGTCCAGTTCATTCTGAAACACAACACAGAAAACCCGATTAGGCAACACCCTGCAGAGGAGCTTCCACTAGATCTTAAAAGGACCCAAGAGGTTTTTCAGCAGGACATTTGCACCAGCCAGGTGCAAAGGAGGGAACATGGTAACAGCAAGCACCAAGTTGCAAGCAAGTACTATCACAGGGAACGCAAAGAGCACCTCCAACTGGCATTCTTCAGGGGGAGAAGATCCCAGTTTCGTCTTAGCCTTGTCAACCTTGTGTTTCTCACACTGTCAGTCATCTTGTTTTAGCTGAATAATTTTGGAAGGCTCACAGGGAAACACAGGAAATCAGACAGGAACAATTTTTATAATGTTTTACCTAAACAAGGCAATAAGGCAGGATGTTGCCAGACTAAATGGATTGAGAGTTGCTCTGAACTGAAGTGAACTTTAATCAGGTGCAGGTGGGAGACAAGAGGGCATGTCCAAACATCTGAAAAGGTAACCAAGCACACAATCAAAAGGCACCAGCTAGCATTCTGACAGACACTCAGGTCATTACAGTTCAGGATGCTGATATGAACTAACAGCTCAGTCAATCGGCCATAAAGAGATCACCAATAAACCAATCCACGCCAAACTGAGGGCAGGTAATGTCTCCTTGGTGCTACAAGGGTCTGGGGAAGGTCAAACATTTCTAATGCCTTCATTAAGGATCAGGAAGAGGGAGCAAATGCCCCATAGTTTAAATTATAGATAATGAAGTGATACGACTTAGGAACACTGGCAAATAGCCAAAGGAAATGTATCTATATTTTTTTTAAAAAACAGAGCGAGAAATATATACAGGAAAGAGTCAACAGAAGATGACTTAAAAAGCTGTGTTAGAGAACTGCAGAGAAAAGCACATAACAAGTCAGGCAGGAACTGCAGTGGAATAAAACCACAATAAAATGCCAACACAGTACTGAAGCAGAGCACACAAATCTATGCAACCCAGAATGCTACATGCAAATCTGAGCTGAGAATAGCACTACCAGTGACCACGGATCTGACGGGGCCAGAGCAAAGCTCTGCTAGTGACAATAAAGACAGGAAAGAGAATATGGGATGCAAAGCTCCGTAAGCAAAAGGGACTAAATGCAAAGCCTAGCAGAGCTGACTTGGATTTGCCCCTGGGGGGACAACAGCTGGAGGGCTGACATGGAATTAACTCTGCTGCAGGAACTATTCTGGAGTAGCTTCCTCAGAGTCCTATTCAGGAACGATTAGTGAGCTCACAAGATGTGCTAATTAGCATGATAGCAAAGAAATCCTGGGCTACTGCGGGCAGCTTTGCAACATTACCTCATTCATCAACTTAATCTGAAATCCCTCATCCTCCACCACAGCTCCTAAAGGCTGCTCCCAGTTTTCGCTCCTCTGATAGAAGCTCTCCTTTCTCTGCCAGCCCCCAGTTACACTTTCTTCAAGATCAAACGAGTATATCCTGACCACAAACAGACAGCTGTCCTACCAGGTTTCCACCCTCCCCAGCAGGTTTACTGGCAGGAATCCTCCTCCTCCTCCTCCTGCCTCCTTTTTTGCCAAGCTGAACAAGCCAAAGTCTCCTAGTTTCCTTTGGAAGAAGGGCTCTCTGCTCCCCAGATCACAAACAACTGGAAGCGTCAGGTTCCAGACAATGTCACCAAGGTGTTACACCCCAAAACTCACACTTTTCCTGCTCTAGGAACAGCCACATAGAGACTGTTCTGATCACCGAGGAAAATCTTTAAGAGACATAGAGGATAAACCCAGACTCAGCACCCAAAACCATCTGGCCGTGTCACAGCGTTCAGCCTGTGGTTTGCAGCTACTCCAGGCAACCAAGTTCCCTCCGATCAATGTTTCAGTTGAAGCTGATGCCCAGTGGTGGGGAAGCAAAGCAGCCCTGGCAGACCTTTGACTGTAAACATTTCAGAGCAGAGGAGTGAGGAATAGCAAAGACAACTATTATCCAGAAGGTAATTTGGACAATTCTGCAAGAGGAAGAGGTTTCAGATTATGAGGGAGCTCTTCTGACCACTTATAACAGGGTGCATAAAGCTGGTTCTCAGAAGAACATCCCCATCTTATCTCCCCAAGACAACAAGCAGACCACAGCTACACACTCTGCTTTCTAGCATGTTGAAGCACACTCCCTTGCCCCAGTCTAACCTTTTCATGGCAGGAGGCCAAATGCTCATTTCAGGACATCTGTGGGCTGCACAGATACAGCTCCAGTTGATTATGAAGCTGGAGTACCACTCCAAGCCCAGGGTCTCGGAGGGACGGGCAATGACTGGCAACAAACCCTGAATGTGGGGGCTTTTTCAGGTGAAATCACTTCTGGCTGAGGATGTCAGCAATTCTCAGCCTCTGAAGAGTCTGGGGACAGCCCACCATGTGTTTGCTTTGCTGAACTGCTGCCCAGGCCAGAATCAGATAGGCCCTCACAGACAAATCCTGTCTAGATGGGACATTAAATCCCACCCATGATGGTCTCCGATGTTCTTAAGGTGGTCCATGTCCTCCAGAAACAAGGCAGCACACAATAAGGAATGGTGACAAACCATCATCAGCCCAACAGCAGCTTCAATCAGTGCACACGGCAGTAAATACCCACACAAACTAACTGTGCTAATCTGCACAGAAAATGTTTGGTTCTTTCCCATTACACAGCGACCTCAGCACTCTCATTAGGAAAGCTGCACACTCAGGACTAGGTATTGCTCTGACAGCTACACAACAAACTTTGCGCATGATGAGTTACCATCAAGCTTGTTGAGCAGGAGCAGCTCCACAGTCCTGCCCTGGGCAAGGATGCAGCTCTTCAGCACAGCCTGCCTGGAGGGGAAGGCTGGGGGAACCCACCTTAGATCCTGGGATGGCAGGGAGAGAACAGAAAGATTTTCTATGGCAATTTTCTCCAGTCAACCCATTTCTGAGTCACTCATCTATTTACACTTGTGAGAACAGATCTGAATATGTACTAAAGGCAATGTTTATCCGCTCCAAGCCATTGCTTTGCTTCTAGGGCACACAGCTTCAAGTGCCCAGAGATGCATTTTCATTTCCTCAGCACACATACTTTAGCCTTCAGTTTCTTTATTAGCAGTCTTTGAAAATTTCAGTGCTACTGACATTATAGTCTAGCTGGCTTTATTTTAAAAACATACAATATACATATAGCATTGTCATGGCAACCGCTAATTATGGTAATTGCTGCACATGCTGATTCTAAACACAAGAGGGTACAAGCGTCCCATTATACCAAGGTCAAACTATGACTTTTTTTTGGAACAGATAACTCCAAGACATAAGGAGCCACGCTTCATCCATGCTAAACAAAGGAGAACATGGAACAGCCATTCCACATTCATCCCGACTCACTCTCAGCTCTCTGCACGTAGGGTTGGCACCCGGAGAACATCACCCAGCCCCCCAGCTCCAGCCAGGTTTTCCCCTATGGACCCAGCCTCAGCACTGTCCACCACTGCTGGTGCAGCTTCAAGCAGTCCTCCTCCTAATTTCTCTTGGGGAACCACAACTTCATCACCTCCCTGCCCCACTTCCTTATAGTCTGTGCAAACAAACCTACCTGCACAGGAGTGAGGAGGTGGCACTTCCTCCAACAGCCCCTTCTTTCCAGAGGGGCTAGCAGGGCTTGCATGCAGCTGAGCCACAGGCACCAGCAACAACTCATTGCTATTTGGGAATTTCCTTTTCCTGCCTTTCTGAAAAGCTCTGTAGCCTCAGCCCCAATGTCTTGAGACCCAAGGGAGAAGTAGCAGTTGGATGTTTATTAGATGCTGCTTCAGAAGGTTTCCAGGTAAGAGAGAACCAGAAGAACAGTAAAGTAGGGGATGCTTCTTGAGTCGCCACACAGGATTTGGTCAGGGGGGGCTCTAAGCCACCACATGGAGACTTCCTTACAACAGAGCTGAGATTGGGCAAGGACCAAGAGGGACAACAGAGACAGGCAGGAGGCACCAATGTGCTCCAGGTCTGAAACACAAGCACAGCAAGCACCAGCTCAAGAAGCAGCTATTGGTAGAGGACTGACAGCCCAGGCTGCAGTTCCAAGATGCTGAAGCATCACACAAGAAAAGAACCACCCAGACAAATTACCTGCAAGGTCTCTGCATCCGGTGCTGTCTGCTCCTCCAAGGCAACATCAAAAAACAGCTTATGGATGACATGTCTTTTGCTGACCTAAACACAGGAGACAGAAGTTGTTGATGGGCACAGACATGGAAACAGAACAGGTATTGAAGACAGAATGGGGGGGGGGAAGAAGGTACCACCCTGTCACAAGGCTATGAAAGGCAAGTCAGATCACATGCCCGACACCAGGAGCAACGATGCCCTGCTCTGGCTCATCGGCACAGCAGCAGACCCCCCGCTCAGTTCTGGGAGCGCGACTCCAGCCAAGCTCCTGAGCCGCAGCAGAAAGATTCAGGCATTTCTGAATCAAGCGCAGTCTGTTCTCTGGCAGCAAAGGCCCAAGCAGCTGACGCTGAGCGAACACGATGCCAAATCCTAAGACAGAAGTACGTGCTGCTTTCTGCAGGCAGAAGGTGCTGTAATTGAATTTGATAGCTCTCCACACCTCCCCCATGCAGCTACAGCTTTGTGTTTTAAGTATTATATACAGTCATGACACCAGCTAATTGCATAGTTACTGCTACATAAGATGTTATTTCGCGATAACTCCATGGTAACCCAGAGATGTAAGAGGCAGCGAAGAACAGAGGGAATCAACAAGTCAGGGAAGGAACAAGGGCCAAGACCTTGAGAGGAAGAAAGAAGCACGAACACAGAACAAGCCCAAGCTGCAGCTGGCTAAAAACCTACATCTGAACATGAGGCAACATCTCCTGCGGCTACTACACACCAAGACCTACTGGTGGCATCAAGTCTGGTGAGACAGGGACTTCAAACAAGTTCAGGTCCTGATTAAGCCACTGGATCCCCAAGCCTTGGCTTTCCATCTCAGAAGCAGAGCACATCCTTCCCTCCCTCCTCAGCCTCTGCTTTTCTCAATGAAGGGCCAAGTGCTGCAGAGCAAGGACTCAATTATAAGGACCATGTGCAGCAGAATGGGCTGCTTACCTGATGGCATGAGTCAGGTGTCCTGATTAACCCTTTCCAGCATTATGCCAGAATTTATTCAGCCTAATTAAAAACCCTGAAGACCTAGAGACCCCTTCTAGAGAAGCTACAATAGGGACAGCAGCAAGGCACCCTCGGGCCACCCCTCTGATCAGAAGGGTTGCTAAGGGGAGTTCACCCTCTTAAGCCTTTGGGGAGAGCCTCAAGTGACAGAAAACTCTTGCTACTTCATACCATGAGCCTCTTCCTCAAATCACCATAGGCCTTGGCCACAGCTCCTTGGTGCTGTTTGCAGAGCATCATGGTGTAGAAATATGGGTGTGTAAGAGGTGATGGGTTTACCTGGATTCTGCACTGTGGGCAAGTCCGGTTTGGTGCTGTGTCAAACCACTGGACGAGACTGAGAAAGGAAAAGAAAACATACAGTAAATCCTCAAAATGCTGTTGCCAGGGGCCACCCCCCACTCACCAGGAGACAGCAGGATGCAACTCCTTTTTACAAACTAAAACCAGAAATACAAACATTTAGTCCAGAGGTTGTTGTGGTTTAACCCTGGCCAGCAACTAAGCAGCTAACAGAACGCCATGTTCCAGCACACACACTCTACCTTCGCCTTGGAGACAATTCCCTGCTGAATTTAGCGTGTGAGCTTATCTTTACCAGGGCAGATTTTTTACAGAGCTCAGATCTCTCTGGGAGAAAGCCTTTGAACAACTGCAGTTTTGCAGGAGTGAATAGATCTGGCACAAGAGCTGCTCTATCAGGATATGACAGTCGAGAGATCCCCAGTTTGGTCAGCTCCAAAGGGTGCCACTGACACTGAACACGCATCTGCAGAGTGAGGGAGACCGGGTCAGTCTCTGCTCCGAGCTGATGAATGCAAACCTGCCGGGCTCCCCAGGAGAGCTACTAATGCATTTTGCAACCAAGCCATCACGTCATACTCGGAACGGTTTATTTTTGGAGCACGGTAACAATCCGGAGCTGGCGGGTTACCTGCAGAAGCTCTCCCTCCTCTGCTGGTTGTTAGAGTGAGCCCGAGGTGTGCCGCTGGTTAAGAGGTGACCATCGCACCTGTGAGCAGTTGTCCCTCTCCAAGTTAGTCAGCCAGAAAAACAAATGTCCGCTCCCTCCACACACACAGAATTTATTTCCTCAGAAGAACCATTTCCTTCCAACAAAAACACTTGCAAAACAGCTCCAGCAAAAGCATGAAATTGCCTGGGAGGCTTCACTCAATCTAACACCGCTCTTTCCAGATAAACACCCTGTGTAGGAGCAATCTGCTGGCACCGACCGGCCCTCCTGGAGAAGGGAGGCCACAGGCAGAGGAGCGACACCACAGCCGAAGCTCCTGCCGCGGCTTCGTGTGCTCCTCTAAGCCTCCGCAAAACGGCATCGCCGCCGCCCCGGCGGCCGGGCCCTCCGCCGAGCAGAGAGACGGGGCAGCGCCCGCAGCAGCCTCGGC